CTCTGTAATAAAGAAGAAACTAACACAACATTGTAAAGCAATTATACCCCAATAAAGATGTTAAAAAACCGAAGAAAAAAAAAAAAAAAAAGTAAAGGAGCCGCTGATTCGGGGGCTCTAGCTCACTCAGGCCTGGGGGAGCGAGGGGCACGTAGTGCCGGGCGAGCCTGCGGCGGCAGAGGCCGGCGTGACGTTGCACCAACCTGAGGCGCTCTGTACGTTCTCCTGGGGAAGTTGTCCCTGGATCCCAGGAACCTGGCAGTGGCGGGCTGCACAGGCTCCCCAGAAGGGAGGTGTGTATAGTGACCTGTGCTCGCACACAGGCTTCTTGGTGGCGGCAGCAGCAGCCTTAGCGTCTCATGCCCGTCTCTGGGGTCCGCGCTTTTAGCTGCGGCTCGTGCCCGTCTCTGGAGCTCCTTTAAGCAGCGCTCTTAATCCCCTCTCCTCGTGCACCAGGAAACCAAGATGGAAGAAAAAGTCTCTTGCTTCTTCGGCAGCTCCAGACCTTTTCCCGGATTCCCTCCCGGCTAGCCTTGGCGCACTAACCCGCTTCAGGCTGTGTTCACACAGCCAACCCCACCAGTCCTCTCCCTGCGCTCCGACCGAAGCCTGAGCCTCAGCTCGCAGCCCCGCCCGCCCTAGCGGGTGAGCAGACAAGCCTTTGGCTGGTGAGTGCCGCTCGGCCCTGATCTTCTGTGCTGGAATCTATCTGCTTTGCCCTCTGCACCCCTGTTGCTGCGCTTGCCTCCGCGGCTCCGAAGCTACCCCCCTCCACCACCTGCAGTCTCCGCCCAAGAAGGGGCTTCCTAGTGTATGGAAACCTTTCCTCCTTCACAGCTCCCTCCCACTGGTGCAGGTCCCGTCCCTATTTGTCTCTGTGTTTTCTTTTTTTTGTTTTGCCCTACCCAGGTACGTGGTGGGTTTCTTGCCTTTTGGGAGGTCTGAGGTCTTCTGCCAGTGTTGAATAGGTGTTCTGTAGGAGTTGTTCCACGTGTAGATGTATTTCTGGTGTATCTGTGGGGAGGAAGGTGATCTCCGCGTCTTACTCTTCCGCCATCTTCCGCTCGTTCCGTCCGCACCGTGCAGTCCACGTCGCCTTGGCAAAGTCAGACGACTGCTCCGTCTAAACCCCGTCTGGCTTCCCCGACACCTTGGTGGAAGGTGTGACGATCCCAGCAGGTCTGTCCTAGGCCAAGAGGTGGAGGCGGCCTTCCCCTCACCCCGCCGCTCTCTGCTGGGCTCCGCAGAGCCGCAGCACGCCCTCCCCCGCGGTCGCCAGTTTTTAGTTTTGATGAATCCATTTAATCTATTTTTTTCCTTTCGTTGTTTGTGCTATTGGTATCATAATTACCATTGCCAAATCCGAGGTCACAAAGGTTTAGGCTATCTTTTCTTCTTTCTTCTAAGAGTTTTATGTTTTTAGCTCTCATTTAGGCCTTTGATCCATTTGGGGTGCTAATCTTGACCTTGTCCCTGGCTTTGTGACCTCGGACTGTTCATTTGCCTTTTTTCAGCCTCACTTTTTTCATCTGTTAAAATAAAAGTTGATATGTGAGTACACAAAACAACAACAGAAAACAGATCAGTGGTTGCCACAGCTGGGAGTTGTGAGCAGGGTATTGACCACAAAGATGAGAGAACTTTTGGCGGTGATGAAAATACTTTGTATCTTAATTGTGGTGATATTTGTACAACTATATACATTTTTCAGGGCTCATAGAACTGTGTACCTAAAAGGAGTAAATTTTACTGTATGTATATTATACCTCGGTAAACCTAGCTTTAAAAAAAAAACACAAAAGCCTTACAACAACTCTACAAAGTATGTGTTATTCTTTTCCATTTTGAGGCTAGAGGAAACTGATACTTAGGAAAGTTAGTGGACTTGCCTATGGTCCCACATTTGGTTGTGGCATTTCTAGGATTTTAACCTAAATCTGCCTGATTGTAGAGCTCGTGATCTTCCTACTCATTTTTAGCCTGTCCCTGAGAGTGTGTGGATTCTGTTGTAAAAGGCTAACCTTCTTGTGAAAGCCAGGAACCCTGTCTGCCTGTGAGCCACTCCCCAGAAGTAGCTGTCTTATTCTTATTCCAAATTCTGAACCCCTGGCAGATCTCATTTCTGCCAGTAATTAGTTGAGATTGGAATCCATGCTGTTGGGGAGTGCTACTCAGGCATGGTCTCCTGAGACTGTGGCCCTCATTTTGGAGCAGCAGGAGACCAGTTTCAAAACTGATGAGTTTCTTTGGTTATGAAAAGCAATTTCTAACTTTGTCCAATCAGCAGCACAGAGTACCTTCTCCGTAGGAGAGTGCTCAGATGTTTACAGGGCCCCTTGTGCTGCTTAGCACAGTCTTCCTTACTCTGGCTTATGGTCGGGTGGAAGAGAGATCCAAGGCAATCACCGTCATCATTTACATCTGCATGCCACTTTATAGTTTGCAGTGTATTTTAACATCTGTGAACTCTCTTAATTTTCTTAGCGCCTTGCCAGGAGAGTGCTTATATTTAGAGAGAGTGTATTCTTGGATAACTCTGGCTGCATGTCTTTTCCTTAAATTGTGCTGCAATGTGTATATCTCCTGTAACTTTTATCCTTGAATTGTTCTAGTTTCAGTTTGTCAACTGGTGGTAGTTTAATGTAGCCTCTTGCCCTGGGGTGATTTGGCAGCACTGCGCATTGGGTACATTTCAAGTTCTATCCTCTGAATTTGACCAACATCATTTCCTTTTTTGCCTGTTTGACTGCCCCACCTTCCTCTCTTTGGGAGCCCATGTTTCCTCCACCTCTCATTCCAGAACCCTGGACAGAGTAATTAATCTCAGAGCAATCGTCATCAAGCCAGCTGTTGACTTTAACTGCCTGTCTTCAATGTTTGACTTGTTTCCTATCCTGAGGTGCTATGGGAGAAGTTAATGACCTAAAAAATTGCCCATCTATCATGTGAGCCTAGTTAGGAGGGAATTGTTTGATTTTTTATGACGTGTAAATAATATGTTTGGAGACATTTTCAAACATGTGTTGGCCTGTGTGTCAGAGCTGGTTCCCTAAACAAGGTGGGACAAATTGGCTGGGTAATAGAGCTTAATGACAGATTTCCCATTAATCAGAATGGAGAACGTGCTTTATTAAGATAATTAACAGATCACTTGTGCAGGTGGTACTTATTGCACAGAAATTTCCAAGTTTCTTTCCCTTGAATAAGCTTTGAAAGGGATCTTGGCTATGTTTCCTTGTTTGCATTAAAAGGATCAATGGCAGTAAATTCCCGTTTTTTTCTAAAACTGCTAGTAACTAGTATCCTGTCCTCTGTAAGTGCAAAAGGTGGGTGACACACTTGCTGCTCTTCCAGCAGTCTGTGTGTTTATCACCAGGTACTCGGGCTCCCCTGGTGAGGAGTAGAATTGCTTCTTTTCCCAGCTCCTAGACTAGCATCCTTAGAATTAGAAAGGGACTCGGAGAGCCTAAAGTAATTGATTTTACATCAGGACACTGAAGCCCAGAGAGGGGACGGCACTTGGCCAGTGCCACACAGTACACTCATGGTACAGGCATCTGTGGGATAGTGGGACTAGTACTGAACTGAGAATCAAAAGGCCGGGGTTGACATTAGGCAAATTGTGTTAGCTCTCTGCCTCTCAGTATCTTCATGTGTACAATGGGAAAAGTGTCTAGCATAGGGCCAAATACAAATGGCTTTTTTGTAGCCCTCTTTCTACTATACCATGTTGCTTCTCTATGAGTGTAACCTGAAGATTATAGATCAGAAGTTGATGTCAGGGAGAATGAACAATCATTAATCAATGCTGTTTTTTTGTTTGTTTGTTTGTGTCTCCATAGGATTCTCAGTTGTCCACAATGAACCCTGTTTATAGCCCCGTGCAGCCTGGGGCTCCTTATGGCAACCCTAAGAACATGGCCTACACAGGTGAGTGGTGTGGGAATGGCTCTCATTTTGAGAAGTGGTTAAGGATGTTATCTCATAACATTGTGAATGACTTTTGGTATACTGTGCCTCCAAAAGCCCTAGTAAAGCTTGGGAACTTGTAGAAGGGAGACATGTCTGGGGTCTAGTGCAGATGGAAATGACACTCTTAAGACCATGGTCTACTGAATTGCCAACTAGGAGAAAGGAAGGGAGGTAACATTTATTTATTACTGAGCACTTTTACATATCATGTTTAACTTTAATCTTAGAAGTAGTCATACAGGGTGTGGTTTATTATCACCATTGCACAGATGAGAAACTAGTTTCAGTAAGAGGCCACGGGGCTTCCCTGGTGGCGCAGTGGTTGAGAGTCTGCCTGCTGATGCAGGGGACACAGGTTCGTGCCCCGGTCCGGGAAAATCCCACATGCCGCCGCGGAGCGGCTGGGCCCGTGAGCCATGGCCGCTGAGCCTGCGTGTCCGGAGCCTGTGCTCCGCAACGGGAGAGGCCACAACAGTGAGAGGCCCGCGTAATGCAAAAAAAAAAAAAAAAAAAAAAAAAAAAAAAAAAAAAAAAAAAAGAGGCCACAAACAAAAATAGATATTTGAACCCAGGTCTGCTGATTCTGAAGGCTCATCTTTTTCCTGACTGCATACCATGCTGTTTCCTACTGCACTGCCTTTGTGTATGTTGTCCCTCTGTCTAGAATGCCATTGTCCCCTGACAACTTCACCTTATCCTTTAAGATCTCGGCTCTGAGCTCAGACAGCACTTTTCCAGGGAGAATTCTCTCCCTTACTTGGCCTTGGGCAAGCTTTTTTTTTTTTTTTAATTTATTTATTGATTGATTGATTTTGGGCTGCGTTGGGTCTTCGTTGCTGTGTGCGGGCTTTCTCTAGGTGCGGTGAGCGGGGGCTACTCTTCGTTGCGGTGCGCAGGCTTCTCATTCGGTGGCTTTCTCTTGTTGCGGAGCACAGGCTCTAGGCACGCGGGCTTCACTAGTTGTGACTTGTGGGCTCTAGAGCACAAGCTCAGTAGTTGTGGCGCACGGACTTAGTTGCTATGGGGCATGTGGGATCTTCCCGGACCAGGGCTCAATCCTGTGTCACCTGCATTGACAGGCGGATTCTTAAAGCTCTTTCAGATAATAGCTAGATGACTTTGGACAAGTTGCTTAGCCTCCCTGAATTTAAATTTATTTTATAAATTGAGATAATATTATCTATTTCACAGGATAGTTATGAGAATTAAATGAGATAATTAGTACTCCATAGGGAGAGAGGGAGGATTGTCTTTGTTTCTACTAATCACTGAAGATCAGTATCAGCCTGGAACTATGGGGTTTTTTGTCTGAGTTGGGTCTTCGTTTCTACGCTCAGGCTTTCCTCTGGTTGCGGCGAGCGGAAACTACTCTTCGTTGTGGTGCATGAGCTGCTCATTGCGGTGGCTTCTCTCGTTGTGGGGCATGGGCTCTAGGTGCGCGGCTTTCAGTAGTTGCAGCATGTGGGCTCAGTAGTGGTGGCGCACGGGCTTAGTTGCTCTGCTGCATGTAGGATCTTCCCAGACCAGGGATCGAACCTGTGTCCCCTGCATTGGCAGGCGCATTTTAAACCACTGTTCCACCAGGAAAGTCCCTGGAACTATGTTTTCAGTTAATTTTTCTGCTGGGATTCTAAGACTACACAAATAGTATAAACTCCACATAAGTAGAATACATTCAAACTTCACACAGGCCAAGATTTCAAATTCTTCACGAAACTTTCTTTTTTACCCTTAGCTTCCTGTTGTCTCTGTACTTTTCAGACAAATTTTTTTTCTTTTAAACTGACTTATGACTTCTCTAAATTCTCAGCTTTATGCAGGGGAATTTGAGTTCCAGCTCTTGGCTTCTCCAAGGCCCAGAGCCTCATCTCCTATCCCCTCCATAGCTATGAAAAGCAAGCCCTTTGATTGCCCAGACCAAAAAACCTTCCCAGAGCATCCCAATATCAGTTCACTGTGAGAGTTCCTGATTTTTCATTTCATTTTTTGACCCTGGAAATTTTTTTCTTTCCTAAAATCTCAAGTCTGCCTGTGTTTGTTGTATAACATAAACTGTTTGTTATACTTTTTATCCAGCTTTTCTAAGTGTTACAGAGTAGGCAGATTTTCAGGTTATCTTTTCCTCCACATTGCAAGAAATAAAGATCCAAGTGAGATAATCTGTAAGCAAATGCCAAATACAATGCTTTAGAGTAAACATTTGTTATTAGTTAGTAACAATAATGGTTATGTTAAAGAGTGTTAATTACCATTTGGCAAGCACATACTAGGTACTTTAAGTATATTAATTATAATCTTATTAATCATAAACCCCATAGTACTCTTCTTTTAGCTAAGTAACTGGTAGTTTAATTCAGGTTGTATTACTTGGCCAGTATATGTAGCTTCTGAAGGATGAGGAAAGATTTGAACTCGGATCTTTATGATATCAAAGTGATATGCTTTCTGTTATAGCAAGCTGATTTGTCTTAAAATATGTGCTTCTTTCACTGCTTCCAGTGATAAACTAGGGGAAGGGGTTGTCTTTTCAGTTTCTAGGACTAGGGAGCCTCACCTTTGAGGAGATAGGAGCCTGCTCCTGGCCAGCAATTTGGGGTAGACTGGGAAGGGGGCATTAGAAGTGGAGGGTCAAGTCCATTGTGCTGTCATCTGCTTCAGCGGTAATGGGATGGTGGACAAAGGGAATAGAGAAGTTGGGAAAATTCCTGATTTTAAATTCTCTCTGAAATGTAAGAGGGAAATAAAATACAACTTCGCAGTTATAATTCTGACACTAATTCCAATGTGCGGGTTCTTTCCCCACACCAAGCTGTTCTCTGACACCAGCTGGGTGTCCTACAGTTCAACTCAATTCTGACACTGTCTACCTGGAGATAACGTCATTTCAGAGGTTGAGAGCTCAGCCCTGCAAAACTGTCCTCATTTCGGATGCCAATCACAAGTCCAGGTTGTGACCTGTGCTTCTGACTGATTGGCTATAAATCAGAGGTTCCCATAACCCCCCTCCTTGGGTTCAATTAATTTGCCAGAGCAGCTCATAGAACTTAGAAAACCAGTTTACTCACTAGATTATTGGTTTATTATAAAAGTGTGTAGCTCAGGAACAGGCAGATGGAAGAGATGCATAGGGCAATGTATGCAGAAAGGAATGTGGATCCTCTAGAGCAGGGGTCTCCAACCCCCCGGCCCATGGACAACTACAGGTCCAGGCCTGTTAGGAACCGGGCCTCACAGCAGGAGGTGAGTTGCAGGCCAGCGAGCAAAAGCTTCGTCTGTCGCTCCCCATAGCTCGCATTACTGCCTGAACCATCCCCGCCATTGCTCTCATTACTGCCTGAACACCCCACCCCACCCCACCCCCCGTCCATGGAAAAATTGTCTTCCATGAAACTTGTCCCTCATGCCAAAAAGGTTGGGGACTGCTGCTCTAGAGGGTGCCACTCTCCCAGCACCTCCACATGTTCACCAACCTAGAAGCTCTCATCCTTTTTGGTTTTTATGTTGGCTTCAGCACATAGGTATGATTGGCCATTGCTGATTGATTCAACTTGCAGCCCCTCTCCTCCCCCCAGAGGTCAAGAGGAGGGGTGGGACTGAAAATTTCAAATCTTCAATAACATGCTTGGTCTCCTTGGCAACTAGCCCCCATCCTTAGGTGCTTTTCAAAAGTTACCTTATTAACATAAACTCGGGTGTGGTTGAAAGGGGTTTGTCATGAATATCAAGACATCCTTTGGGAATTCCCTGGCAGTCTAGTGGTTAGGACTCTGCACTTCCAATGCAGGGGCAGGGGTTTGATCCCTGGTTGGGCTGTAGGATCCTGCATACCACGCAGCGTGGACAAAACAACAACAACAACAAAAAGACATCTTTATTGCTCTTACCACTTAGGAAATTTCAAGGGTTTTTAGGACCACTGTGCCAGGAACAGGGATGAAGACCAAATATATACTTATTATGTCACAATATCACAGCAATACAATGTATTCCCGTGAACAGCTGTCTTCTAGCCAGTTGACAGCGTTCTCTCTCTCTCTCCTTTTAAAAGCTCTTTTACTGAGTACTTATTGTGTGCCAAAAATTGAGCTCACTGTTTTACAGACTATTTATTATTTATTTATTTATTTATTTATTTTTTTGCGGTACGCGGGCCTCTCACTGCTGTGGCCTCTCCTGTTGAGGAGCACAGGCTCCGGATGCGCAGGCTCAGCGGCCATGGCTCATGGGCCTAGCCGCTCGGCGGCATGTGGGATCTTCCTGGACCAGGGCACAAACCCTTGCACCCTGCATCGGCAGGCAGACTCTCAACCACTGCGCCACCAGACTATTTATTTTTATACTTGCAGTAATCCTATGAAGTGGTTATAACTAGCTCCTTGAACACCTTGGAAAAGTGAATTTAGAGAATATAATCTGTTCATATACTTTCAAATAACTGAATGTGTAGATAGTGTTGTAGACTGAATGTTTATGTCCCCCCAGATTCATATGTTGAAGCTCTAACCTGCAATGTCATGGTATTTGGAGATGGGGCCTTTGGGAGATAATTAGGTTTAGATGAGGTCATGAGGGTGGGGCCTTCATAGTGGGATTAGTATGCTTATAAGAAGAGGAGGAGACACCAGAGTTCTCTCTCTGCCGTGGGAGGACACAGCAAGAAGGCTGCCATCAGCAAACCAGGAAGAGAGAGCCCTCACTATAACTCAACCAGGCTGGCACCCTGATCACATACTTCCAGCCTCCAGAATTATGAGAAAGAAATTTCTGTTGTTTAAGCCACCCAGTCTATGGTATTTTGTTGTGGCAGCTCCAGCTGACAATAAAGATAGTAAGTACAGTGAACACTTGAATATGCTTCACATAGATTCACCATGACAATGGGCTTTTTAAAGACTGGACATTTCTTTTTCTGAAAGGCCTCAGAAATGTTTCTCTGCTAGAAGTTTGAAATGAAGTCA